TCCTTGTGTTCAGTCACTTTGTCAAAGGTATAGTCGCCATAGGTGTAGTTTGTATCCAAATGCTGACGTTTCTTGTAGATAGATAGTACTGCACATTTTTTGAGGTTAAGGTGCAGCCGATTCACGTCACACCAATGTTTAAGTTTGTCGATGGCTTGTTGCAATATCTCCGAATCTTGCTGAGATTTGATGATTTTGGCAATTTTGATATCGTCGGCAAACAGTAATATCATGATGTCTGGGGGCATTTGATCCACGATGTCGTTGATGAACAGCAGGAACAGTGTTGGTCCGAGGTGGCTCCCCTGCGGGACACCCGACGACGCTGTAAAGTGGACCGACTCACTTGCTCCATGTTTGACAAATTGGGTACGATTTTCCAGGTACGACTTAAGCCATGCCAGCATGTTTTGAGGTAGATTGAATGTTTCCAACTTCTGGATCAATATGCTGTGATCAACTCGATCAAAGGCTTTCGTAAAGTCCGTGTACAGGACATCAACTTGAGCTCCAGTGTTTAAGCCACTCTGGGCGTAGTACACAAACTCGGTTAGGTTTGATGCTATAGATCGTCCTTTCATAAAGCCATGTTGGTTAGGCGAGATGCGATCACGAACAGTTTCAAGCAAATTTACGTTGACGAGGTGCTCGAAGAATTTAGCGATTGTTGGTAATTTTGCTATGCACCTGTAGTTTTCAATGTCCGATCTGGCGCCCTTTTTGAATATGGCTGATACACTCGATCGTTTCCATTCGTCGGGAAAAATGCCAGATGAAAGCGACTCATTGAAGATCTTAGTCAACGGACTAGCAAGCGTCAGAGCACACTCCTTCAAAATCAAAGGATGAACACCGTCGGGTCCAACACCTTTCTTTGTATTGACCTTCGTCATTTCAGTCATGACAAAGTCAAGGTCAAGCTGGAAACAAGAGGTGTTCACGGACTGAGGTGACGGTTGATTATTTGTTGTCGTTGATGTGGAGTAATTGCTCCCGAAGAAGTCCGCAAATAGATTTGCTTGCTCTGTTTCGCTGGATGTCTTAGTGTCGCCGAATCTCATGGTTTTTGGTATGTTATCAGTGCTCTTTTTAGAGTTTACATATTGCCAAAACGAAGAAGGATCACTTTTCAAGTTTCAAGTTTGATTTCATTTTGTCGACGTACTGATTGTAAGGTTCCGTGTTTTTGGCACTGAATTCCTCGTGCAATTCTTCAAATGGCTGCTTATCATTGGTCAGCCTCCAGTAATCCCACGCTTTTTTCCTCAAGTTCTTGAGATGCCGAAGTTCTTTGTTTTTCCATGGGCATTTTTGGTTATTTTTGCGGACATACGTTGGAACCGTACATTGAATGGCTTCTGCTAACACGCCATGAAGAGATGACACCTTCTCCGCAAGTGATTTATTTGCGAATAAGTCATCAAAGTCGACGGCAGCAGAATATTCATTCATGCGCTGATAATCAGCCCGTTTGAAGTTGAAATGCGTATTATTCTGGTTTTCGGAACCACTGTTAATCGCATGCCATTCAAATTCAATCAACAGAGGAGGGTGGTAATGGTCGATTTTTTCCGTCAGTGACAGTTTAGTAGCATCGGAAATTGTTGTGTTGGCATGGTCGTTTGTGAAAAATAGGTCCAACAATTTGAGGTTCCGATTCTTTATTGAATTTATTTGCTGGAGGCCCAGGCCCATCAGGCCGGTAATGAAATCAGCAGCACATTGGGAGTGGAAGTTTGAGGGAACAAGCACATTACTTTACTCATCGTCATTTATTCACTCAACGTTTGTCAAGTTAAAATCGCCAACAACTATTACAACATCATCGGCATTTGTCGTGAGTGATTCAATGGCTGAACGATGCAAAGTGTATATTTCATTGGATGAGTTCGGTGGAACGTATGCATTGTAGATGAAGATGTTGTGTGTTGGTAAGCTCGCTTTAATGCATACGTGCTCAATGTCCACGTTGTCAAATTTTATTTCTTCAGTAGAGAAGATTTCATTGTTGAGCGCAATGAGAACACCTCCACCTCGTCTAAATAATCTGTCTTTGCGGTAGACGTCGTATGTGCTATTGAAGAATTCGGCATTACGGTGGCTATGTTTGAGCCAAGTTTCAGTCAAGATGACTATGTCAAAACCGAAAGCAGCACATTTATGAAAAAATTCATCCTGTTTGTTACCCAAGCTGCGAATGTTTTGATAATAGACACTGATGCGTGTCGCGTCGGGTGTGCGCAGCTTGGGATTTAACGGAATCGTCTGTTGCCCACGCGATGGACGAAATGGTTTTGCTGTTGCCCGGAGTTTGCTGCGCGGTAGTGATTTGGGCGCTGAGCAAACGGATTGAACCGAAGGTTGCTCACACTCGGTGTCGTCGATGCCTGTGTATAGGCGTACATTTGCTGCGAATGTATTCTGGCTCTGTTCTCGTTGTCATGCCGATGCTCCCCGTTTTTTGACTGCCAATTTGCATTAACGCGAGGTTCAGTGAAGGGCAACGGAGGATTTTTTCTGTCAATGAATTCACAGGCAGTAACTGATTTCGGCCATATCGACGGGTTAACAATACGTTCAAAGTATTGACGTGGAAAAGTCAATTTGAACGAGATGAATTTGTAGCTTGAAATGGGCCGGTCACCACGTGTCAATCTTTTGCATCGAATCTCATTGACAATATTTGATGTGGAGTCAATTGAGCGCAAATGGTTCAAAATATCATCACAGGTGGTGTCATTAGAGAAGCGTGAGATGTGAACGCTCTTCGTCAGATTTGATGGCAGTGGAACTGACGGAACAATTTTCTTATGTAAATTGCTGACCTGTGGTAACGGTACCGCTTTGGCGTATAAATTGCTGGCTTGAGTGCGTGAGGCATTTTTCATAATCGGTTTACGAGCCGGAGCCTGAACCAAATTGCGCAAATGAGACAACCAATTCTACGCTTACCGTGCTTTTGATTCGGGCGTGGAGTGTCCACATAAACACTCGATGAAGCATGACCCGATTCGACAGATGGGACGATTGTAGTGTCAACGTCATCATTACTTTCGTCCTCGTCCATCGGTTCCGCTGACTTATCGTTGATCACAACATTTTCAGTGTGCACGGTGTCATTGGCATTGCCAACCAAATGCATCAATGTATTTGCGTCGATTTCAATCGTTTCGGCAGCACTGGTATTTTGCTCATTTTGGTTGCTTGCACTTTTTTGCGGTAAGTCAGCGGACAACACTTTGTCAATGAGAGGCACTAGCGAGCGTTTGAGGTCCGCAATAAAACTTGAACACTCGGTAAAATTGTTAATTATGCCACCCAATGTGTGTGGCTGGCAACTGACACAATACCACTGTAAACCAGTAATCTTCGCCAAATAGTTCATCAATGTTTTATTGTACGTGGTGGTGGCATCGTCTTTATTCAGACAGGCGAAATGAAATGAATTGCCACATAAGCCATAGCATGAAATGCTGTTGTCACTGGCTACCGGTTTCACACACAACGCACATTGGGCCATTTTATGGTTATGAAAACCAACAACAATAACACAGGAAAACGACGTGAATAACGAGAGCGACGTAACCAAAAATGTGCACAAATTATCACAGAGAAAAATCGACGAAATTGATGTTGACAGGATGAACTTTATATTATTAGGATACAGCAAGTCCTCACGAATAGAATGATATAAAATTTGTGACAAAACAATGTGAATAACTATTTAAAAACAATAAAATAATGTAAACAAATACGAGAGACGAAAAAAAACACAACTGTCAGCGTAGCTGTCAAACATATGGTTGAAACACATTTTGTTCGAGACAATCACTTTTAGTCAGTTAAAATGTCCCAAATTAATCGACTGACTAGTCCAAGGAGGAAAGTACTAGATTTGTATAAGACGCCAAGTCGTTATCTCTTATCAGTTCAGCGAAACACGCAAAAAATCGCAATTGTACAACAAAATTCGTGCTTTTCACTGAACTAATAAAAGATAGATAATCGGCGTCTTCAGCAAATTTATAGTGCTCGAGGTCTTCCGCAACTTTGCTTCAGACAGTTCCCACTCATCTCCTATGAGTTTCGCAGAAAACGCGAAGGATGATAAAACGAGACCGTAGATCGTCGCTACGCTCCTCTCTGCGTTCTTTATGTTATAAATTAATAAGTTAATAAAATTGAGTGTTTAAATTAATTTGATGTTCCCATCAAATTATTCATCGAAGCACTACATGGAATGTAGTTTCAATCGAAGCATACATTTCTTTATTTTATGAAAATTATTAGAATTAATATCAAGTATGTTCGATTCGGACTCTATGTAGCATAAGTATCTGTCATCACTGACACTGACAGCTATTGTTCATTAGTATTAAGAATCGTACAATAAATCAGTCGTTTATCAGCACTCATACTGTTCACTCATTCACTGCGTTACTACATGGCGCTGCGAACAGGATGATGAAGTGAGCTATCCGTGGATTGAGAAGATATGGATTGGAGGACAATTGGTTGCATTTAAAATTGACACCGGTGCCCAAGTCAATGTGATTCCACTGAGTGTGTTCCTTCAGTTGAGAACGGAGATCGAATTGCATCGAACGAATGTCAAATTACGAGCCTTCAGCGGGGAAAAATTGAAACCAGTCGGTATGTGTTCTCTGCTTGGCAAATTTAACAAAAAGTCATGTGATATGAAAACAGCTGTTGTTGATATTGACATAATGCCTATTCTCGGTTTGAAATCATCCATTCAGTTTGGTTTAGTCTCGCCAACAGTTGAATCGCGCACATTCACAAATACCGCGTATCAAACTAAAAAATTATGACTAGATCAAGTTAGCCTTGACAAAGAGTCTGTGTTGAAAAGTTATCCTGATTTGTTTAAAGGCCTCGGATGTTTCAATAGCGAATACAAAATCAGCGTTGACAAAAATGCAACACCAATCGCTCACGCACCGCGTAGAGTACCATTGGCAATTAGACACAGATTAAAAATGAAATTAGATGAATTAGTTGCGAATAAAATAATCGAAAAGGCTACCGGTTATTGTGAATGGGTGAATCATTTAGTCACCGTTGAGAAAAAAGACGCTGAAAAATCACTGCGATTATGCATCGATCCAGGTGAATTAAATAAAAGTATTTTCGATGAACACGCATTTATTCCAACTTTTGAAGATGTGTCATCACAATTAAATGGCATGAAATATTTCACAGTATTAGACCTGAAAGATGGTTACTGGCACGTTAAATTAGATGAAGAATCGAAAAAACTTTGCACTTTCGCAACTCCCTATGGAAATTACAGATTCTTAAGATTGCCATTTGGGATAAAAACCGCTCCTGGCGTGTTTCAACAATTGAATTTTGAGAACTTTGGAGACATTGAAAATGTAATGATTTATTTTGATGATATTTTAATAGTGGGTCGCACACGAAAAGAGCACGATGAAGTATTGAAAAAGGTTTTGGACCGCGCAAGAGAAAAAAATGTACGCTTCAACATAAACAAAGCACAAATTGCATTAGAAGAAGTGAAATATTTAGGTCACATTTTTTCATATAATCAAATCAAGCCTGATCCAGAACGTCTTTTAGCTATTGCTGAAATGACACGACCAAAGAACAAAAATGATTTACAAACATTTCTTGGAGTTGTGAATTTCATGACTCCGTTCATACCTAATTTGTCAGATCGAACGGCTCCGTTGCGTGAATTGATAAAGAAAAATGTTCTTTTCCTTTGGACAGAGTTACATGACAAAGTGTTCGATGAGATCAAAAAATGCATTCTTAATTCGGAAATTCTCGTGCCTTTCGACATTTCAAAAGAGTTAATTATTCAATGTGATGCGTCACAGGGTGGCTTAGGATGTGGTTTGATTCAAGATGGCAAACCAATTTCGTTTGCGTCACGCAGCCTAACCGCTTCTGAAAGAAATTACTCTCAAATTGAAAAAGAAATGTTGTCAATTATTTTCGCCTGCCAAAAGTTTCATTTCTACACTTACGGCAGAACAGTGCGAATTGTCAACGACCACAAGCCTCTTCTTGGAATCATGAATAAAGAAATACACAAAATAGCGTCAGCAAAACTACAGAGAATGAGACTTAAATTACTCAATTATGACATAATTCTTGAACATGCACCTGGCAAAACGATAGTTTTAGCGGATTATCTATCGAGATACATGAGCAAAAGTGAAAAGGTTTCGGAAGATCAATCAATTACTGAGTCGATCTTGTCGATTAACGTGACAGACGCGCGTAAAATCGAATTACAGCAAGAGACGAACAATGATGAAATTTTAAAGCAAATCAAGGAATATTGCAAATTCGGATGGCCAAATAATAAAGACAAATGCGATCCATCCACGAGATATTTCTATAGACTCAGGTCCGACATATTGCTCGAAGACGAAATCCTGTTCTATAAACAACGAATAATCATTCCAAAATCCATGAGAAAAGAAATTTTGCACCAATTGCATAAGCCGCACTTCGGCATAAACAAAACGCTCAAACGTGCCCAAAATTCAGTATTCTGGCCAAACATTTCCAATGAAATAGAGCAAACAGTTTCAAATTGCATTATTTGTCAAGAGAATGCGCCGAAAATTCAAAAAGAGCCGCTCTTGCCACATGACATTCCGAATGAACCGTTCAAGAAAATTGCATGCGACATTTTAGATTTTAAATCAAAGAGTTTTCTTGTCGTAGTTGACTTCTATTCGAAGTGGATAGAATTAGTTAAATTGAAAGGCAAAACTGCTCATCATGTAAATACAGAATTATTAAGGCTATTCGCTACATTTGGTTACCCACATATAATAATTGCAGATAATATGCCAATGGGTTCTTATGAAACCAAACAATTCGCAAAAAAGCATGATATTGAAATCATTACAAGCAGCCCTAATTTCCCACAGTCAAACGGAATGGCTGAAAAAGCGGTCGGTATTTGTAAAAATATTTTAAGGAAGTCAGAGAATGAAGAAGATATTCTCAGAGCATTGCTCGCATACCGCACCACACCAACCAAAAACATGTCATATTCGCCAGCTCAGCTAATTCAAAATCGAAATTTGAGAACTGAATTGCCAATGCACATCGATAAATTTCGACCCGAATTATGCATTGACGTCGAAAAACAACAACAAGCAAAGCAAAAGATCTGTAAATCATATTACGACAAATGTGCCAAGCCGAGAAACCTCGACTTAAAAAATGAACAAAGCGTTTTATTCAGAAACAACGACAAATGGCAACACGGGAACGTTGTTGATAAACACGATACACCACGGTCATATGTTGTTCGATCTAACGGTCGAGACTATCGTCGGAACACACGGCACATTCGAATATTTAATGAAAACACGAACCAAGACAAAACAAATCAAACACCGATAGCCCACGTTCATCGAAAATGCACACGGAGTGGCCGAACTTATTAATTGGTGTTATTTATTGAAATCTTGTTTTTTGAAGTAAAATTTTCATTCAATTTTTTTTTCATTTAGCTTAGATTATTTCTCTTGAATATTGTTTCCTGCCTTCTTTGAATTGAGATTAAGAATACATTTAGTAAATGAAAATAAATAACATATACATATATTTTTGGAAAAAAGGGAGGCAAAGGACACAGTTAGAAAAAGGGAGATGTAGCATAAGTATCTGTCATCACTGACACTGACAGCTATTGTTCATTAGTATTAAGAATCGTACAATAAATCAGTCGTTTACCAGCACTCATACTGTTCACTCATTCACTGCGTTACTACACTCTATTTTTTCTAAAGATGTTAAAATCGACGATGTCATGGTGGAAATTGTTAATTTACGTAATTCAGTCAAGAAGGGAAAAATGAAAGTTCAAGTACCAATAAAAAAATTATTAATAATATTGATATTATTAATAATAATAAATCAATCAATTGAATAAAATTATAATTCTATATTGATCTATATATTATATTATAATCTCTTATTAATATTTTCGTAATCATTTGGGTACGATAATGTGAACGTCGATTGTACATTATTTCACATTGGGAATTAAAATAATGTGAAACTTTTTTTCTGAGTTATCTCAAAAGAAAATTACGTGTACATGATTTTATTTCAATTTTGTAATTAGGCGTAATTGCTTCATTTCAAATTACAACTTTGGATAGAAAAAAGAATTAATTTTCGGTCCAAAAAAGTGGCCTAAAGAGTCTTAAAATTTTCTCGAGAAAAAAAAAACAAATGCAATAGCCTATATTCCATGTAGTGCTAAGAAACATGCCATAGGCCGATGTGTTTGATTTGCGCCCAATCGATAAGAGATAACTGTCTTCAGCAGTGTCATAGAGGATCTTGAGTACTACAACTTTTCCGAGAAAAACTAGTTGTTATCTCTTATCAGTTACGCGGAAACCGTGAAAAACCGGGACGACCCGCCAAAAATGAACATACATTCTTTCAACCATTGTTAGTCTCAGTGAAATATACTTCTCTTTATTGCTACGACGTTTGACAAACTTGTGTTCTTCTAGGTCTCACCAATTCATATCTACTATCGACGTACTGCGATAAAAACCTATATAAACAATGTTATTATATTTGACAATATTTGACTCGATGTCAATGACGATGTGGTAGCGCCACCCTTAGAGATTCCTTATTAAAATAAGTGGAACTATTGAGTGCGTGCACCATATCGCACGTAAATTTTCAATATGGCAGCGCCCATAGAATTAAAAAGTTAACCAATTTCGTAGTCACAAATTATCGCTGTATGACTATCGACCCATTTTGTTTTCAAGGCATTCAAATGCATGCAAGCATCAATTACTTGACCATAGTTCGCTATTATTTATTGATATTATGAATAGCATTATTGAGCATTATTGACAATTCCGAAGGATTATTTGGGATTATTTTTGTACTAGATTGCATTATTTGAATTATACAAATCTAGTACTTTCCCCCTTGGACTAGTCAGTCAAAAATTTTCCACACGGGTCTCTATCTTGCTCTCATTTTCTCTTCTCTTACCCACGCACACACACTCTATCTCGAAAAACGAGAAGAGATCACCGTTGCATGTTAATTTCGACCATAGCTGAAAATTTGAATTTCCAAAAATTTGCATGTAATTGTTTATGTTCCATATCCAAATTTTAAAATGCTTCCGCTTTTCAATCTGTTCCATTTGCTGCATATGCTTTTTTCTATGCTATCCATTTGCATTCTTTCTGCACGTAGAAACTATACAAATTCAATTTGAAGCGAACAAAAATTTATTCATACTCTGCAATTTTCCGTAGTGTTTTTCCAGTGGAAAAACCTTTGGCACAAATGATGCGAAAATTTATGAATGTGAAGAGCATTTTTTATTCGTCAATAATTTTCGAGATGAACGTCAATTTGTTTGTATCAGGCCGTTACAAGGATAGTTTTTTTTTGTTCTTACTCATTGAGGCATCAGAACGAGGAAACCAGAGGAAACTGAAGAGCCAAAAACCCAAAGCTCGTTTCCAATGAACGTGAGATTCGTTTTCGATTGTGTCGCTGCTCCCAGCTCCCGCCTCCTCTCCATTGGACTATCAAACGATGGAACCGATCATCGAAGAGATAAAGAAATGCATTGGAATTGAAAACGATGTACAATGTACATGCTCGGTAAATATTATTGAATTTCGGTGGTGCATGTTTTCCGTGCGACCGGGGATTTTTCAAGCCAAAAATACCTCGAGCAAACAATTACGAACAAAATTAATATATACATTGTTCAGGTGAAATGAAAATTCAATTTGCAATTGGAGCGCCCAATTTTTTTTTGTTGGTCTTTTTGTTGTGTTTGTTGTTGTTATTGTTCATTATTTTAAGCGATATAAACGATGGATTTCGTGCCATTGCCATCACACAATGACACAGATTGCCAAATTTTTATGCTCTTTTTCTGACAGATCGATCTCGTGATTTGTGTGCACAATTCACACTGGTGAACAAGCATGGTTTTTCTGTGATTGTTCATGTATCCAAGCTGAATTCGATTGATTGAAGACTATATTGGATTGGAATACTCAAAAAAGTTTGTTGATTAGACAGAGACGGCAGATTGATGGAGCGTAGTGAAAAGCTGATATTGCTTGCGCCGAATTGCATTTCGATCGAAGCAAAATGGATTATTGATTGAATGGCCCGCTTTAAAAGTTGAATGTGATATAAAATATGACAATGAATTCTAGTACGGATTTCCTTGCAAAATATTGCGTTGGGAAAAATCGAATGATTGCCATTCATTACTGGTGTGTTTTGTTTCGGTGGTGGCCAATTGGCGCAAAGTTCGATAAAGCGTACATTTATCGAAATCTAGTCCGTACAAACAGTTGTGTATACATTTATGAATGTATGAATTTCGTCGACTCTTGTCCATCGCATTGCTTCGGATATTTTCTAGTATATTCGTGAATAACATTTGCGTTCCAAATACAAAACCTAAATTTTATCCAATTTTAATCCCGAAATTATTAATTACGCATAATTGTTAATTATTTCAAAACACACATATAGTCACTTAGCATGAAATAAGTTAACAAGTTTGTTTGTTATGTCGCTGTGAAAAAATTGTGTTTTTTTTCTGCATAAACAGAGTGAATTTCAATCGCTCTAGTCCAAAATTGGAGACTGAAAATGAATCGATGCCAAAGCCATGTACACAGTTTACCAAACTTTATGAAGGTTTATATTCTGGGTAACAAATTTCGATAGGTTGTACAGTGCTGTGCTAGTAGCTTAAAAAACAATTAAAATACACCGAAAATTCAATCGAACGGAATGTTTCGGATGCAGCCAGTTTATCCTAGATTCAATTAAAAAGCGTGCACATACATCCACCACACACATAAATTGAGAAATTTTAAACTCTCTCCTGCTCCACCACGGATACAGTATCACATTTCACAATTATTGAGCTGTGATTTCATTTGTTTTTTGATGGTGGCAGCGGCTTCGAGATTGGCGGACGCCAAGTGTGTTTGTGACAATGTCAAATTAATGTGTACAATATGCAAGGATCATTAAAAAAAAACTTTACATCAAAAACACACACACAACAACAACTAAATAACTATAGTTATTTCACTATTAATAGCATTGTCCGACTCGCTTATACTCTGTCCAACGGATACAAATCAAAAACGCTTTTATGGAAGTAATTTGATTTTCATTTTACTTGTTCCATTTTTGCCTCTTCAAGTGTCAGGCCATCGGAGGGGGTGGCGGAGAGAAAAGACAAAAACAAAAACAAAAAACCAAGAGTCGAACATTGAGGAGAATGATTCAACGGTCGACGGTCAGAATAACGAAAAAAAAAACAAACACATGTTCGATTAGTTGTAGGTACACTTATAAATTATAGTTTAAAACAATATTTCATCTGCTCGTGATAGGTTGTCAATAGTTTCTTCATTTTTTTTCTCTATCCGTTCGGGTCCTATCCTTTCCCTTCTCGGTGCCGCTTGAAGCGCACACAACTCTTTCGAAATGGTTTTCGAAATCAATCGCTCTGAGTTGAAATCATTCTTTTGTTTCCAAATCTGGCATGTGACATGTGGAATAGACTTGAATGTGTTTTAAAGCTTTGGGAATTCAACTAAAACAATCGAGTATTCGAAAGGAAAATCTCTTTGCGATGAATGTGTTTTTTCATTGGCATGTACTGTCGTCACTCATTCGCTCGCCCACGCGCATGCATATTAGATGCTTTTGTTAGTACTTTGTTTAGGCAATGTCGAAGTTTTATATTCGCAACGATCGGAATCCTGGCGAAGCAATAAACACAAAGAAAAATTAGCGATTTCGAAGCAAAGAGAGCACATCACGTAAATAACAAGAATGAGGATGGGTGAAGAGAAACAACAATGCTGACGACGACGTTGAACCTTATATGAGAGATGAATGTAGAATGGAGAGAAGGAAGAACGAAACGAACCGAAGCGGAGCAAAGGCATGTCGATTGCCATATCCACGCACATCCATTGATGTGTTCACGGTAAATATAATACAAGTGATTGTGTGGCAAGAAATAAAATCTCAATGGGTTTTCGTTGCCTTACATCCGAACCAAATAATCTATAGCCCAGTGTTTAGATCATCGCACGATATAGTGACGTGTATGTAGGTTCGTG